GTTATTTATCAGGTTTCGTGCCCCTCCCACCCCTCCAGGGAGGCCCCGCCTGAGCGAGGAGGGTATTCGCATCACCTGTTATTTATCAGGTTTCGTGCCCCTCCCACCCCTCCAGGGAGGCCCCGCCTGAGCGAGGAGGGTATTCGCATCACCTGTTATTTATCAGGTTTCGTGCCCCTCCCACCCCTCCAGGGAGGCCCCGCCTGAGCGAGGAGGGTATTCGCATCACCTGTTATTTATCAGGTTTCGTGCCCCTCCCACCCCTCCAGGGAGGCCCCGCCTGAGCGAGGAGGGTATTCGGATCACCTGTTATTTACAGGTTTCGTGCCCCTCCCACCCCTCCAGGGAGGCCCCGCCTGAGCGAGGAGGGTATTCGAATCACCTGTTATTTATCAGGTTTCGTGCCCCTCCCACCCCTCCAGGGAGGCCCCGCCTGAGCGAGGAGGGTATTCGCATCACCTGTTATTTATCAGGTTTCGTGCCCCTCCCACCCCTCCAGGGAGGCCCCGCCTGAGCGAGGACGCTATTCGAACACAGTGTTATTTATCAGATTTCCTGCCCCTCCCACCCTCCAGGGAGGCCCCGTCTGAGCGAGGAGGGTATTCGCGAACAGTGCTATTTATCAGGTTCCGTGCCCGTCCCACCCCTCCAGGGAAGCCCCGCATGAGCGAGGAGGGTATTCGCAAACCATGTGATAGAAAAGGATGGAGAGGGCGAGGGCAGGTCGGCAATTTCTCTACAAAATGTTGCTTGATCCCGCTAGCCCAAAAACATCATTATGTGGGGAACTCCGTTAGCATAATTCTTCTTCGAATATCGTCCTCTGCCTTCCCTCGGGGGAGTGGGGGGATCGTCGAGGAGCGAGGATCGAGAAGCTCCTGGAACGTTTCGCGTGGGCCTTCTTGAGCTTGCGGGGGGCATCCTTCAGCTCGCGCGGGCGCCGTGGATGGGGCCCATCCCCGTCCAGCAGCGGGCGGGGGGGGGGGCAGCGGGGAGACCAGCGTGGGAGCCCGCCCCCTGTGACGATCCACAGCGGCTGGCGGACTGGAGAACACGCATCCTGCAAAGATGCCGATTGGGTTTCGTTTGAGTGCAGCTTGTGCCTGTGTTCGTGTTGTGTATGTGTGTGTGTGTGTGCAAGGGAGCCTAAGGGAGCGGTGGTGGGGTGGGGCAAGGCAACTTCAATCAATATATCTTAGGCCCCCACAAACCGACTGCACACGGAAACCATTCTATGAAACAAATGGATCAAAATACGCAGGTCTGGGGAATTATGAAGGCATGGTTTGGGCGACCGAGGTCCAGATGATGGAGTAAACGCCCGTATGATGAAATGGGGCCTGTCGGCAAGCAGGTCGAACGACGGGAATTCCACGGATGCCTCCAACACGCCAAGATAGGTCCGACACGCTGGGAACACGATTCCAGTGACGCCGAGATGGGTGGGACGCGTTTGGCTGCGCTGGCCATGCTCCCCAGCCATTCACGGAAGCTCCACGGATGGTTTCGACACGCCTGGATGCCAGTGAGGGTGCGGTCCAAAGAACTCCAGACAGTGAGAACGCCGGAGGAACGATGTTGAATTGAAGCAGACTGGTCCCCGTCTGATCTGTCCCAGCGCACTCCCTTTGACTCTTTCAATTCCTGTCTGAGGCAAAGCGGAGCCTTCTTGCTGAAGTGGGCAGGAAACCGTCCCTCCTTGGTCAGCTTGTTGATCAGCTTCTGGTCGGCATTGTTATGCTTGACCTGCGAAGACTCATCTTACCCTAACGACACTCACTACTCCTGCCACAGACAAGCAGATGACTTTATTCTGCGCCGCAAACGAGCTGTCCCTAGTCTACGCTCCGCCTGCAGCTCGTCGCACTAAACCTGTCTTGGACATAGGCTGCCAGACGATGCCATTCTAGTGCGTAGTCGAAACCAAGTGTGCGCATATTGTCTAGATTCCAGGCGCATGCCCGTTCCGCCAGATGAGTGGCTGGTGCCTTGCAGATGTACGCGGGCGCTGAGCGATGATAACTGTTGCTTCAGGACCTGAGACCAGTTGTTGCAGCGGCCGTCGTACTTCAGAGCGTCTTGCTGAGTGCTCCCTCTGATAGCCCCTGCGCAACAAGATTCAAGCCTTGCCCACCTCATCGAGGCTACAATCTGTCAATATGTGGATCCGCGGCATCGTGCCCCATTTCTTCTGACTGGGAAACGAAGGCCTGAGCTGGTGGAGAGGTGTGAGGTGGCTGACCTCCACACAGGCGGCCCCAGGGCTCCGCACACTGCTCCTCGACCATCCGACTCACAAGTACGAACATGGCAGGAGAGCCCCCGCATGGCACGAGACGGATGTACGGCTGCCTCCGGGCCTTGCCCGGACGGCGGATGCGCCCCAAGAGGGCCCGAAGTGCACCCCTGAGTGCACCACACTCCTCCAGAGCGGTCTTTACGGCAGGAGTCAGCTCCCACCTGCCTCCAAGAGTCCGAAAGATCCCAAAGAAGCCTCGAGGCTTTTGACGGACGCGCTCAACACAGCCCGAACATACGTCCCATACAAATACTAAAGAGATGGTTGGCCATCTTCAGTCAAGATCGATCAGCCCTGGGGCCCTCATACAGCCAACACCCGGAAGCGTGCTGAGAGGAATCACGCATCGGTTCGCCCGTTAATGCTGTACCGCCCAGGAGGCCCGCAATGGGCTCACATTGTAATGGGCCCCTGCGTCCCAACGGGATGAGGCGACACGTCTATGCCCCGATCCCCCGTCGCTGCCCCCGGCCGCGGTATCTCCGCCACCCACTGCCCGGCGCGTTCAAGCGCGCGTGGATCAAGCTCAATACGCGACACCCCCGCATCACATATTGGGGAACGTTCGGAGCGGCACTCTACCCCCCTGCGCATCCAGGTTGCGGAACAGCACCATGCATCTCTCCGAAAGTAGGGTCACAGAGGAAGCCGATCGTGGACGGCTTGATCGCGTGCCACTTCCCACTACCTTCCCTACCGTCGGGGCCTTGACCTAAGGAACCCTAAATAAGGAACGAGGCCCCTTTTTTCAATAAGTTGAACTTCGATTTCCGATCGAAAACATCAGGAAAGCCTGAGGCAAGCTGTGAAACACTTAAGGAACGCGGAGCCCCTCCCCAACGAAAAGGGTTCCTTCCTCAGGGCCCCGACTGTAATCCTCCTACCGCGGGCACGTGTGATCGGAAACCTTGCTGCACAAATCACACACGAGGGACTCTCCCCGCTCAAGCTGCACCTCCCCGACAATTCCCTGGGGGCACCTGCCGGCAGGCCTCTCTCCTCATGCCACCCCCGGGGCCCCGAGGGGCACGATATAGCCAGGAGAGTGTGAGAAAGAAGTCCGAGGAGGAGGGGGAGGAGGAGGAGGAGGAGGAGGAGGAGGAGGAGGAGGAGGAGGAGGAGGAGGGGGAGGAGGAGACGCAGGAGGAGCAGGAGGAGGAGGAGGAGGAGGAGGAGGAGGAGGAGGAGGAGGAGGAAGGGCCCCTCTCGTCCAATGACCTCAGCCTCCATGGCGGCTCCCCCTCTGGAGGCGGCTGGGGGGTCTGAGCTGGAGGAGCCCAGAAACAAAAATCAGTCAACAAGTGGGCATACAGTCGGGGCGTTGACCTAAGGAACCCAAAATAAGGAACGAGGCCCCTTTTTTATCCCAAGGGGTAACGCATAAGGAACGATACATAGCAAATAACGCATAAGGAACTGCAAATAACGCATGCAAACCTACGGATTGACCGAGCCCCTTTTGAAACGTAAGTGTTCCTTATTCAAGTCGCCCACTTTACCCGTCGGACGGAAGAAGTGGGCAGGCGTGGAGCAGGAAGGCGTTGGAAGCAGACTGGGCTTCCGCCCGCCCCGTGCAGAGAAGGGAGGAGGGACAACCGCTCGACTCTTGAGGCAGGCAGCGGCTGAAGTAGAGTGGGATCTGGGGATTCAAGAGTACCTGCTTTCAACGACCCGCGCGTAAGGGCAAGTCCGCGCAACATCGGTGCCCAGACCCCTCCCAGGGTCCATCTGGTGAGATATTTTTAAAGCGCCCCAAGGCACACAAACAAATACACACATATGAACAGATTCCCCGTATTTTCCCATATATTATGGGTTTCGGTCTTCCCCCCCACTTCCTATATTTTCCCATATTTTCGGGGGAACCGTCGACTAATTGTGTCTGTGTGTTTCTTTCCCTCTCCTGATTTTTCACCCCGGATCCATGGTTGCATGTCTTCGGGCCCGAAAGCGGCCCACCAGAGGCCGAAAGAGGCAAGACACTTCCCCGAACCCGGCACCTCGAACCTGTGCACCCCCCCTTTGAGCAGGGATCGACAGTACCGGCATTCCTATAGTCATACCACGAAATGTTCTTAGAATCCAAAAGGGTTCTAAAAACGGAAACACTGTTCTTAGAACATAAACTCGATTTGTTAAAACAAGACAGACTCCGCCGGAAATGTCCTAGGAACATTTCGTGGGAGCCACAACAGGTTCTTAGAACATTGTTTGGTGGGGCTATAGGCGAGCCGGGACGCTTCGCCACTGCTTGACTCCTTCCTGCTGGTCGGCGCCAGTGCCGGGACATCTCAGACCCCCGGCTGGCTACAACCCTCCCCCGTCTCCCGAGCTATGCTGCTCCCGTCGTACTGACCACGCATCCCCGACAACAATGCCGAGCACCCAGAAAAAAGAATATCGAAACGGTGTCGAACGAGCACCGCCTCCCAGGGTCCGACACGTGAACACCCTCCAGCGTCGGTGCCCTCTTGGTGCTCGAAGTGCTTTCTGGCAGTCAAGGCGAAAGTAGGTTGGAACATCGTACAGTAGGGGTCTTGACCTAAGGAGCCCAAAATAAGGAACGGGGCCCCTGTTTCCCATAAGTTCAGCCTCGATTTCCGATGGAAAACCCAGGAAAACCCGAGGCGAACTTCGAAACCATCAAGGAACACCGAGCCCCTCCCCAACGACAAGGGTTCCTTCTTCAGGGCCCCGACTGTACAAGGGACTTTCCCCGTTCAAACTGCACCTCCCTGACAATTCCCTGGGGCACCTGCTGGCAGGCCTCTCTCTCATGCCACCCAGGGGGCCCCGAGGGGGGCACGATGGCCAGGAAAGCGTGTGGAAGGAGGAGGAGGAGGAGGATCGTAACTCCCGAGCCGATGTTGGTCGGCTGTCTCCGCGGCCTGGTCGGCGCTGGCACCCCGGAAGAAGCCCGCCATGGCGCCCGGCCCGGCCGGCGGCCTCGGGGGGAGGCGTCGCGCGTGGCGCGGCGGAGGGCCCAGGGAAACGGACGAGGAGGAGGAGGCCTGACGGCAGGTTCGCGTGTCGTCCTTCAACCTCCTCCTCCTCCTCCTCCTCCTTTCCCTCCTCCTCCTCCTTTCCCTCCTCCTCCTCCTCCTCCTTTCCCTCCTCCTCCTCCTCCTCCTCCTCCTCCTCCTCCTCCTCCTCTCCATTCTCCGTTTCCTCCCCCTCCTCCTCCTCCTCCTCCTGGTCCTCCTCCTCCTCCTCTCCTCCTCCTCCTCCTCCTCCTCCTCCTCCTCCTCCTCCTCCTCCTCCTCTCCCTCTCCTTCTCCCTCCTCCTTTTCCTCCCCCTGCCCCTCGCCCTCCTCGGTTCAAGACGGCACTCCATTACGGCGGCGGCCAAGCATGATCAAGAGCCTCTCTTTGGACAAGCGCCACGGCGTCCTCACGGCCGCCTCGGGAACGGGGGATTGCTCTGCAGACGCCTCCAACACCAAGAATCTCCCAATCCTCCAGAGGGTGACCGGGCCACGCTTATCGATGAGAGGGGGTGGGATAGGCGAAAGGACAAACACGGCAGGCTCGTGTCGCGACGACCCCGGCGCAGGTTCCTGACGCCGCGGGGATCTCGCAACCTTGAGAGATCGGCGGCTCTTCGATCGCCGGATCGTTCCATAGGGCCGATCCCGAAAGCCCTGAGCCAAAACATGTTGTGATCTCTTGGGAGGTTGGGGTCGCCTTTTGCTTCCGCCGGCTTTCCGCCGAGCTTGGCGCCAGCTTCTGCCGGCGGAGCCGCCGCCGTTGTATGTCCGCCGCCCTCCGCCCTCCGCCGCGGGAAAGACGGCAACTCCGTCGACCTTCGAGGGCAATGCCCTGTTTGGAGCGCCCCAACTTGGCCGAGTCTGGGGAGGAGGAGGAGGAGGAGGAGGAGGAGGAGGAGGAGAGGAGGAGGAGGAGGAGGAGGAGGAGGAGGGGGAGGAGGAGGAGGAGGAGGAGGAGGAGGAGGAGGAGGAGGAGGAGGAGGAGGAGGAGGAGGAGGAGGAGGAGGAGGAGGAGGAGCGGAGGAGACGGATAGGAGGAGGAGGGAGGAGGAGGAGGAGGAGGAGGAGGCAGGAGGAGGAGGAGGAGGAGAGAGGAGGAGGTAGGGGAGGAGGAGGAGGAGGAGGAGGAGGGAGGAGGAGGAGGAGGAGGAGGAGGAGGAGGAGGTCGAGGAGGAGGAGGAGGAGGAGACGACGGAGGGGGATGAGGAGGAGGAGGAGGAGGAGGAGGAGGCGAGGAGGGCGAGAAAGACGGGAGGGGAGGAGGCCTCCGCATCTGTGGAGGCGGCTCATGGGAGGTCTTCGATGGGAGCGATTGGGAACGTGTGAGCCCGATCTGCTTTGTGGGCCACTGGGCTGGATTCGACCAGAGCTCCACCAAAACAATGTTGTTGCAATTTTCTTGTGATTGTCGTTTTCCCGAATTTGTCGTCAATCCGCCTGTGCTGCAAAACGAAAACGAAACGGAAACGGCGCACGAAATCGCCAACACACCGTGTAGTTCGACCCCTTCGTTTGAGGCCACTGGCCTGGATTCGGCGCGATTAAGCGCAAGATAAGGCCAGATCGCTCCATATTGGCCGAGTCTGGGGAGGAGGAAGAGGAGGAGGAGGAGGAGGAGGAGGAGGAGGAGGAGGAGGAGGAGGAGGAGGAGGGGGAGGAGGAGGAGGAGGAGGAGGGGGAGGAGGAGGAGGAGGAGGAGGAGGAGGAGGAGGAGGAGGAGGAGGAGGAGGAGGTGGAGTAGGGGGAGGGGGGGAGGAGTCGGGGGAGGAGGAGGAGGAGGAGGAGAAGAAGGAGGAGGAGGAGAGGAGGAGGAGGAGGAGGAGGGGGAGGAGCAGGGCAGGAGGACGAGGAGGAGGCGGAGGAGGAGGAGGAGGAGGCGCAGGAGGAGGAGGAGGAGGAGGAGAAGGAGGAGGAGGAGGAGGAGGAGAAGTGGCAAGGGGAGGAGGAGGAGGAGGAGGGAGGGGAAGAGGAGGAGGAGGCGGAGGAGGAGGAGGGGTGAGGGTATGAGGAGGAGGGAGGGGAGGAGGAGGCGGAGGAGCCTGAGCCAGACGCGTAAGTTTTGATTTCGGCGTGCCCGATTAGGGGATCTCACGCTGCAGAGGCGTGTTGGTATTAGAGGAGGAGGAGGAGGAGGAGGAGGAGGAGGAGGAGGAGGAGGAGGAGGAGGAGGAGGAGGAGGAGGAGGCGAGGAGGGCGAGGAAGACGGGAGGGGAGGAGGCCCTCGCTTTCGGGAGGCAGCTCCTGGGAGGTCTTCGATGGGAGCGATTGGGAGCTGGTTAGCCCAGTCCAGTTTTGGGGTCACTGGGCTGGATTCGACCGGACTGGGAGGGGAAGGAGGAGCAGGGAGGGAAAGGAGCAGAAGGAGGAAGGAGGAGAAGGAGGAGGGACGAGTTTCGATTCCCCGCCGAGAGTTTGAGGTGGGAGGGGGGCGCAGCACTAAACGACCCTCTGGGGTTTAGCTCAAGGTAAGGCCGGACTAGGCCAATCTAAGCGGATTGAGCGGGATGGACAGGATCGGGCCGGTCTGCGACCCCGCATATACCAGGGCCGAGGCCGAACCTAACCTGCCAGGATTTGCGCACTCCTGGCTGAGCTGCTGCTCTTCTGCGGCGCAACTCCATCAGCCCCAGAACGCATCCCCAGACGCGCGCACGAGTCGCGGGCTCCAAACGGAGCCTGGAACGACAGGGCCGACTCTGCTGTAGGCGAGCCCGCACGGAGAAGCTCGGCGCGGAGGACCTCAGCGGCGCAGGAGCCAAGGTGCCCCTCGCGTCGTGAGGAGAAACAGCGGCGTAAAATGATCGGCCCTGCTGTCTCAGAGGGGGGCCCTTACCGGGCCCAGGACTTTCGTAGAACGCCTCAGGATGAACGGCTGGCCATGTTTTGGGGACTATAGGGGGGTGAGCTATGCGGGGTGAGCCATGCGGTGTAAGCTATGCGCTATACGCTATGTTGTGGAAGCGATGTGGTGTGATGTGGTCTGATCTAGACTGCGAGGTCAATGTTGTGTGAGCTGTGCGGCGAGAGCTGAGCAGTGCAGCACCTGCGCCGCAAGCTGCGCTGTGTCAGCTGTGCGCTGCAAGCCCTGTTGTGTGGCACCACGGGGCGCCCGAGAGCGGACAAGGACGTCAGCGCGGCGAGGCGCCCCGGAGTTAGCACGGGCGCCGGCGCGGGGAGTCCAATGGGGGCGCCCACGAGGCGCCCAGGAGGCGGCCACGGGGCGGCAACGTGCCGAGCCCTCGGGAAACCCAATGCAAGCGACGGGCGCCCACTGGGCGGTGTACGGATGTGCCGAAGACCCCCGCAACCAGACCAGTTTCTGAAAAACACAGCTGTAAGAAGGCCAAGTGCAAGCACTGCTTGAGGGAAAAATGCATGGGCCAGAAAACGAACGACACCACCCCACCTGCGGCCCCACGGGCCGCAGCGTATACCAGGACATCTGGCGTGGGTTTTTGCTAATTATACGCACGGCCCCCGATGGGCCGTAGCGCAACATGGAGGGCCGTAGGTGGGGTGGTGTCGTTTGTCTTTTGGCCGAAACAGTGAAAGACCGGCTGCCGCTCAGTTTCCGCAGCTTTCTCTTCACTCTGTCTGGGCCCCCGGAGGCCCTCCAGAGGCCAAAGACGACGAACAAAACGACCGTCGCCTGCGCCTGGATCTACAAGGGGCCCTCCCCTGAACGGGGAACGCAAGGAAGGATCGGCTCAGGGGGGGCACGCTCCTGGGCGGAGGTGAGCCATCAGGGTCCTATCTGCGATGAGTAGGCGACCCTTCTTCTCCTCCTCCTCCTCCTCCTCCTCCTCCTCCTCCTCCTCCTCCTGGTCCTCTTCCTCCTCTTCCTCCTCCTCCTCCTCCTCCTCCTCCTCCTCCTGGTCCTCGTGGTCCTCCTGGTCCTCTTCCTCCTCCTCCTCCTCCTCCTCCTCCTCCTCCTCCTGGTCCTCCTGGTCCTCATCCAGCTTTCAGGTCATGCCTCGGGTCTGCGCCGTTCGGGGCGATCTGGGCACCCCTGGGCAGCACACTCGGCGAGGCGCAGCTGCTGGAAAAGAGCACGCCGAGGCCGGAACATCGCCGAGACCCGAGCACAGACTGCGAGTGCCTCCAGCCTTTCGCTCGCCGGAGCCTGCGGTCGGGGGAACTTCTGCTTCTCGCGCCTCGCCGCGGCGGCCCCGGCCACACGCTGTGCCTTGCAAGCGGATGCGGTGCCGCTCCGCCTCGAGGGGCGGGAAGGCTGGGAGCAGCCCGGGAAGTTCACGCATGCGGCGGCGCGACGCGCGGAGCCAGAGCTCCCGACCGTATTTCTCGCCCCTGAGCGTTGCCCCCTGGTTCGCGCTTTTGTCACGCTTCCCCCCTCCTCTCGGGGCGGCACAAAAAGGTGGGGATGGGGCACCGGTGGGGCTGGCAGGGAACTCGGCCCGAACGGCCCCTGGAAGCAGGGAGCGCTCGAAACGGGAGCACCCAGCCGGGCCCGCTCCCCAGCCCCACCCTGGGAGAGCCCTCCCTCTACGACTCCCCCCTCCTCCCCCACCTGCCAACGTCAAGGGCCGTGGAGGAGGAGGAGGAGGAGGAGGAGGAGGAGGAGGAGGAGAAGGAGGAGGAGGAGGAGGAGGAGGAGGAGCAGGAGAAGGAGGAGGAGGAGGAGGAGGCCGTTTGGGAAGTGTTAAGGGAGCTAACTCGCAGAAGGCGCCCGCGCGAATCGTGGGGGATCCCCCTCGCCCCCCCCCCCCCCGCCGGCCGCCTCTGGCAACGGCCGTCATCGCCAGGGGATAAAATTACTCACTGCGTGGAGCTCCCCAGATGTGCATCTCATGTTTTATGACATGTTGTAGTGAGCGTCTGATCTTGAGCGCTTGACTAGAAAAGCGCGTCCACATGGGCGACAGGGCCGACGAAGACGAGTGAATCCTAATGCGAGTGAGTGAGTATGAGTCAGAGTGAGCTTTGAGCATGATTGAGTATGAGCCTCCCAATCATTTCCCCTCCTCAGCTGCCAGGCCGTGCCCTCCCCAGCCTGTGGTAATGTGCGTATGTTTTAGGATCGTTGGCAGTGGGATATGTAAAACGAGCGTTTAGCCACACAAGGCCATATGTGCATATCATGTTGTAGGATAGTGCCAAGGGAGCAGCACGCCTCATCTCCTCCCTCGCAGCACGAAAACGAGCAAACCGCCCGAGACATCCCCACAATCTGGCCGCGAACGGGCCCGTGAAAACCCTCTGGCGGCTCCCCATCGGGGTGCTGAAACCAGCGCCCCGCCTGAGACATCCTCCACATCTGCTCTGAAAGCAAAAAGGATGCTGGGCATGAGAACGAACAAACCGCTGAGACATCCCCACAAACTGGCCGCGAACGGGCCCGTGAAAACACCCCTGGCGGCTCCCCTTAGGGGTGCTGAAAGCAAAAAGGATGTTGGGCAGGAGAACGAACAAACCGCCTGAGACATCCCCACAAACTGGCCGTTGGGCATGAAAACAAACAAACCGCTTGAGACATCCCCACAAACTGGCCGCGAACGGGCCCGTGACAAAAACCTCTGGCGGCTCTCCTTAGGGATGCTGAAACCAGCGCCCCGCCTGAGACATCCTCCACATCTGCTCTGAAAGCAAAAAGGATGCTGGGCATGAGAACGAACAAACCGCTGAGACATCCCCACAAACTGGCCGCGAACGGGCCCGTGAAAACACCCCTGGCGGCTCCCCTTAGGGGTGCTGAAACCAGCGCCCCATCTGAGACATCCTCACAATCTGCTCTGAAAGCGAAAGATGTTGGGCATGAAAACGAACAAACCGATGGAGACATCCCCACAAACTGGCCGCGAACGGGCCCGTGAAAACACCCCTGGCGGCTCCCCTTGCGAGTCTTAGTATGACTAGGTCTGAGTATGAGTAGGTCTCAGTCCGTGCGTTGAGTAACTCAGACTATGAGAAGGTCTGAGTGTGTGTGTAGGTCTGAGTCTGAGTAAGTCTGTGTATGAGCAGGTCTGGGGACGAGTCTGGGTATGAGTAAGTCTGGGTATGAAGGAGTCCCAGCATGAGTAAGTCTGAGTATGAGTAGGCCTGCATGTTGTGTGTTGAGTAAGACAGACCATGATAAGGTATGAGTATGAGTAGGTCTGAGTATGAGTAAGTCTGTGTATGAGTAGGTGTGTTCTCTCTGGAGTCGGCGGCGTCTGAGTAATAACAATAGCCCCATCTTAGGATATGGGGAAAACAGGTCCCAAGCGAAATGCCTCTACACAGACCCCCTCGAGTCATGAAAAACACGACCCGAGGTTTTTCATATGTTTTCGGCCTCTGGGGGCCCTTACGGGGCCTCGGGGCCGTACAAAACGACTCTGGACGAAAAACCGGTCCTGGGGAATGGGTCGGGACATCTGGGAGTCGACGTCGCGAAAAACTCATGACGTCGGGGGTCTGGCTAGGCGGCTTCCCTCGGGGCCCGTTCGTTTCACGGCGGCGCGTGGAGGCGGAGCAGACAGGGGCAGCCAGCGGGGCAATGATTTGCACGCCCGTGCTCGGCATGGGGGACACGGGTCCTGAGGGAAACGGTTCCTGGGCCCCGGGGCGAAGACCACCTGTTCATCCTGAGCTGTTTGCTGACAGCCCCAAGGCCCGTGGAGGGCCCAGGAAGCTCAAAAACGGCGGAAGACCTCATGACCCGTTTCCCTCAGGACCCGCTTCCCACATGGCGGCAAACGCACGCCCGAAGTGGGCTCGGAAACGCTGGGCACAGCAGCTTCGTTTGGCGGCGCGCGCAAGGTGGTAGGGGGCAGGGAGGAAGGCTTCTTAGAAGGAGGCTGCTTCTTAGAAGGCGTCGGCCTTCCATTCACAGAGGAGGCCCGCGCCTTCTGAGAAGCAGGGGTGCTTCTAATAAGAAGCCCTGCCCCCTCCCCCCTACCCTCCTCTGCGCGTGGCCGATTCGTGTCGTCTCCCTGCCTCCCCCCTTGAAGGGGAACTGGGGCACGCAAATAAATAGACACAAATAACCAGATTCCCCATGTTTTCCCACATGTTCGAAGTTTCTGTCCTCTCCCCCACTGCCCATCTTTCCCGGGGAATCGACGATGCATTGTGTCTGTGTGCAGTTTCCCCTGCCCCCCCCCCTGGCTTTCGAGGGAGCACGGCAGGCCTGCGCAGCCGCCCGCCCCCCAACCCGGGGGATGGCGGGCGCCGCCGGCGAGGGCCCGGCGCCGCGGCCGCAGCCCGGCTCGAGCCCGCGGGGGGGGCGGCGCGGAGCACGCCGCGGCGCGGGCGGCGGGGGGCCACGAGCGGCGCCCTCGCTCCAGCCTCGCGCCTCGCTTGCCCTCGCCCGTTCTCCTCGCTCCCCTCGCTCCCTCCCCTTGCCTGCTCCTCCGCCGCCTCTCCCTCCTCCTCCTCCCCCCTCCTCCTCCTCCTCCTCCTCCTCCTCCTTTTCCTCCTCCTCCTCCTCCTCCTCCTCCTCCCTCCCCCCTCCTCCTCCGCCTCCTCCTCCCCCTCCTCCTCCTCCTCTCCCTTTTCCTCCTCCTCCTTCTCCTCCTCCTTTTCCTCCTCCTTCTCCCCTCCTTCTCCGCCTCCTCTCCCCTCCTCCTCCGCCGCCTCCTCCTCCTCCTCCCCCTCCTCTCCTCCTCCTCCTCGTCGTCCTCCTCCTCCTCCTCCTTCCCCTTCTGCTCTACGTACCAGATGGGTCGGGCAGGTGCTCAACTACCTTTTGACGTTCAAGGTTCTGCTGCAAACCGTCGCGCAGCTCCCCTCCTCCCCATCCTATCCTCCCTCCTCCTCCTGCTCCTCCTCCTCCTCCTCCTCCTCCTCCTCCTCCTCCTCCTCCTCTCCTCGCCATGGTAAACCCTTTTGGATCAAGGCTAAATGTTGTGAAGTGCTGTAGACTCCTCCTCCTCCTCCTCCTCGCCATGGTAAACCCTTTTGGATCAAGGCTAAATGTTGTGAAGTGCTGTAGACGCCCAACAACCAGCGATTAGCTTCGGCTGTCCGCCGCAGCCAAGGCTCAGAGCGTTTGGGCCATGTTTCGTCCACAGCAGCTTGTGGACCACCCGCACAACCCGCGGGGCCTTCTTGCACTACTCGTCCTGGGACTCGTTCTAGTGTTTAGGAAGGAAGCGGGATGGCGCGGGGCAAGTACCTCGTCTGCCCCTGGCATGGCTGCAGCGGCTGGGCCTGGGCGGATCGTGGAGCATCGCATTGCACCAGATGTGGCACCAAACTGGCTACGAAGAAGATGTCCGCAGGAGATGACGTGTCTGCCACGGAAGCCTCTTCTCGATCTCAGCGCCCGCGTTCAGTTTCATTCGCAGGAGAGGCAGGGCAGCCGAAGGCAGGACGCGGACGTTGGCGGGGCCGATCTCGTGACCCACCAGCAGCAGATCAGCCAGCTCCCGCGGTTGCGCCTGAGCCTCATCTTGACGGATGCCAGACCGCCACCGCCACCGAGCCTGCTGCGGAGCACAGCTCTGCCATCGAGTTGGCCAAGGCGCAGGTGGCTTTCTGGAAGCAGTGCAAAGGTGATGGCAGCACAGAGTATCGAGACGCTGTCGCATGTTCCAAGCAAGCGAAGCAGTTTGCCCTACAAGAGAAGACTCCAGATCAGCAGGTCCAGAGCCTCACAGACCAGCTCGGACAGGCCAAGAGGAAGCTCGGACACATCAAGAATACGGTCAACCAGCTCACCCAGCAGCTGGTCCTCGTCGCAGAGAAGCACGCTGGAGCCCTGGACGACTACCAAGAGGCCCACAAGGACGTGCATTGCCTGCAGACGCAGTTGCAGGTGGTCCAGCAGGCAGCGGCCCAGCGCACGGCGCAGGAGGTGCCGATGTCAGAGGCCATGCGCTCCCTCATCGCTGCGAGGATCGACAAGCCTGCTGGCCATATCCCGAAAGACCTCGACCAACACCTCCTGGCAATGGCGAAGATGCTCGAGATCATCGAGCACCAGCAAAAGGCGACGGAGGATAACAGCAACGACCAGGAGGGGATGAAGGCCGAGAGGCGAGCTGACGACGAAGACCCACTCCCAAGGGTGGGCCAGGATCCTGAGGACGAGCCTATCAAGTCCGAGGGCCCCCCAGATGCCTCCGCCCACCCTGTCCCCAGCGATGATGGCGCGCAGATGGAGGCCGCCAGCGAGCCCGCCGCCGAACAGCTCGTCAGTTGCCAGGCCAACATCGCCAAGCAGGAGCTCCACGGCGAAGAAGCCAGTGAGAAGCTCAATCTCAAGCCGGAGACTACTGCTGCCCAGCATGCCGCAACGCGTCCTGCGGCCCCAGCGCGTGGGTAGCAGCATCCGCATCACTACCATCAACGGCGGCTGTTGGCCGCAGGTCAAAGAGTACATCCACTCTGAGCACGCCACAGATGACCACGTCATCTGTGCACAGCAGACCAAGCTGTCCACCACGCAGTCCATCACTTATGCCAGTCAGTGGTGTGAGCGACATGGATGGAAAGCTTGTGTTTGAGATGGGCACATGTAGTTCCACGGGCACCCCGTCAGCAGGAGTTCGTGATTTGACTAAGGCTGGTTTTGACTTCGGGACCCAGGACATGAAAATTCCAAGGGGAGCTCAAGAAGTTCTTCCACCGGGACGCCTAGTTGGTGCCAGAGTAGAGCTGCCTGGGCTCGGCGGAGATGTTTGGGTAATTTTGTTCATGGTGGTTGTCTGCAACATGTACTTCATGAGCCCCAAGTACACACAGCATACCCACTTTCCCCACACCGCCCAGTGAGGATGTGCATCGAAGTTGGCGAGAATGTCGCAGCCCCTGTTCTTGCAAGCCGCAGCGCCTGCCCACCACGCCTGGTCTTGGGCCCAAGCTGCCAGAGCGAGACTGGATAGCCACGGAAGCAGCGCTCGACGCTGCTCAAGGGATCCTGAATAACGAGACTACCACGCCGATCCAGGGGGGAAAACTAGCTGCCCTTGATCAAGTCTATCACTTCCTGGCCAGGGACCTCAAGGTTACGATTGCGGATTTGACGGACGCGGTTTTGAAAACGAGTTCTCGGCCCAGGGCATGTCCTCCCAGGGTCAAGTGGATCTAAGCGAAACAATGTTTGAAAGAACATCGAATTGCCTGGAAATCTCACGCTGGGCCCCAACGCTGGCTTAGGAATCTCGCGCAGCAGTTCTACTCCAAGCTAGCGACATTAAACGCTAACGACCTTGTCGAGATTACCGAATACCTCGAGGACCCATCTACAGAGTTTAACGAGTCAGAGTTTCGCTCCGAGTGCCTAGAGAGTACCCGCCAGTGCCTGAATTTCATTGTTTTAGATGTGAATGGCAAGGTCCTGGACCCCGACCTGGGAAGAGAAGCCCCGGATAACGTTCTGGAAAAAATTCGAAGCTTCTGGGCCAGGACATCGATTTGGAAAAGCGTGATGCTACAACAGCTCGGCACGAGTGGGTACAGATGGGCACGCCAGGCAATGCTGGGCGGGCCCACAAATCGACGAATAACCTAGACGCTCAGAGCCCCAACGAAGTCCCCAAGAAATGCATCTGGACGGGTCGACCCTCGAGATTGCTGGAATTCGAAGCTGAGCGACTCAATGACCTTTGGGATGCTACGGTGGAAAGGCCTCAGTACCATGTGCCCCCGGGGCCACTCGAGCCACGTCCCCCCCCAATCGAGCCCCAGGACCTCATTGACGCCGCCAAAATAGGGCGCAAACAAACCTACCTCGCTTTTGACCACCCTCGCTTCCAAGAGATACCAAGCGACGCCAAACTATGTACGGCCTGCGCTGGTCAGGCCGCCTGACGAGGAGGCGCGTGGTATGACTTGGTTTTGCCTGGAAGCGAAAGCGCGGTAGGTAATTCACGCTTTGACAAAAGGCACTCACACGTAACGGCCTCGACTTGGAACGGATTTCACCCGAAGTATTTCCAGAGCCTAAGTCTTGAACAAGCCGGCCTAGTCTGTCGGTTTCTGCATCTCGTCGAGAAGATAAGTGCTATGCCCACCCAATTGCAAGCGACTGTCTCGGCCATGATCCCCAAGACACGGGCCAAAACCGCCCACCAAGCCAATGTCCAGTTCCGAGGCATTGGGACGATGCCAAGGATGTACAGCATTTGGTCCAAGGTCCGACAAAAAGAAGCCCGACGATGGGAGGCAAAGCGCAGTCGCCCGTTCCTAACCCACCAGGCGGGAAAGAGTATCACCGAAGGTGTTTTTCGCCAGCGTCTCAAGGCGGAGCACGGAGTGATTTGCCGAGAGTCGCTTCACTCAGGAGCTGCGTTGTGGGACCTTAGCAACTACTAGGAGCACATTAATCACCAGAAGCTGATAGAGAGGGCCCACGACACAAGCTTTAGCAGCGCCCTCCTGAAGGTCATTTTAAACCAATACAGCAGCGCGGGACTTGTTGCTACCCGAGAACTGGTCCAACTTGTGGGCCACCCTACCCGAAGAATTGCAGCTGGTGGTGGATGTGTTACCTGTTTAGTTCAAGTTTAGAGCCTGGGCCCTCTGGACGCCCGGGCCCTCAGAAATCCCCAGGGCACGGGCCTGCACATGTTTATAGACGACCTATTCCTGGGACAACAAACACTGCGGTCCGCAAGCCCTAGTCCGACAGAAGCAGCACTCCGCGGCCAGGCTCGCCACCCCTGTGCGGGGCGAGTTAGAGTGCAAGCTCGCGTTGCACAAGGCCCAGGTCATAGCTTCCACCGCCAGACTGCGTGGACTCCTTCGGAAGGCCCTTGGGAAATTCGCTGGCCCGACTGATGTGAATGTAGCCACCAATTTGGACACGGACAGATCCGCGGGAGCCTCGCGCCTTGGAATCAAGAGAAGACTCGCCAGGGCCACCCTGTACAAACGCTTTGTTAGACACACGGACGATTTCGTTTGCACCCACAAGAATTAATCAATCCCGTTCGGGGGGAACAACAAATTCTCAGGAATCGTCGGGGATCCTTCCATTTCTTACAGCCGTTAAACAGGCGGGAACCACATGTTGGAAAAGAACTGGCCTGCACCCATAAATCACTCACAATCTTTGAGCACGGATGTGCGCGGCACTACGCCGAGAACCACATGTTGAAAAGAAGCCATTCTACATCCGTAAAGCTTATCCAAACGTTACACACGAATGTGCACAACGCCAAGGCGAGAGGCACATTGTTGAATTCTGGGGCCGGGGCCGGTGGTACCACCTCCAGGGTTGGAACTGCTTTACTTTCGCCGAAAGGGGTTCGGGGGGATCGCACATTGC